ACGCTGCACGGGCCCGCCGCTAGAGGGAGCGAGGGATCGAGAAGGGGGGTTGCTGGATGCTGAGGTTGAACCGGCCAAGCTGGGAGGAAAGAAGAAAAGGAGGGGAGGGGAGACTCGAGGACAGCCGGCCTAGTCAGGCCGAGAATGCAATTGCCCCGGTGGTGGGAGCTGGGAGACCCCTGTGCTTGGACGAGGCAGGGTCGGGGGACACGAAGGATGAGCCCCGCGACCACTGGCACATTCTTACTGACAGGTTAGTGGCCTGCGCGCGACGTGGAGGTCCGGGGGCCTCCAGGCCGCCGCCTCCCCTCCCCCACCCGGTTCGGTTACCCAGGCGCGCCCTTGGGGCGCTAGCCCCTCTTGGTGCTCCACTGCACCCCCTCCTCCAGGACACCCCGCACCCCACATCCCAGCTCCTCTGAGCCCTCCCCAGGCTTGACCCCTGGACTCTTAATTTTCTCCGCGCCCCTGTGGGCCCCTCCCTGTTTAGCGGGCGCAAAAATTTCATCTCTGGCACCCGTTCCCCACGCCCAGCCCCCTTGGGGGATTTCATTCGATCCCAGCAGCAACAACCTGGGGGGCGATCCCCGTTTTTTTTTCCAGGGTGGGGCGCATTACCCCGCGCTTAAGGCTCCTTGGCCCAGATGCCTGCCAAGGGGAACGGTTGTCAATCAGCGTCCTTGTCTACACAAACACATTTTTCTCCTTTTCTTGAATCTTATCGAGACGGGAGATTAAAATGTGACATTTAAAAAAGACCTGATTCTTTCTTCTTCTCAAGCGCGTTTCTCCGTGGAGGAAATCCTGTTTTCCTTAGGTTTTATGGACCGGGGAAGCGGAATCATGTTTAAGTCAAGCAGGGCGTTCAGGTCAGGGTCAACCCGGCTAGGGGCCGGAGACGCTGCTAACATCAGCGATTGCCCCAACAAGGGTGTTGTTTTGAGAAAGCAAAACCAATGGAAAACAGCTGAGGATGCTTCCAGCTTGCTTGAGGAGCTCTAAAGGCTCCCAGCCACGAATTTTTGATGGTGACTACGAGGTTTACGTAGTGCTCGCCTTCTCTGCAACATTACATTTTGCTAGCTCTTGTAGGGTGAATGAATGCATTTTAGTTGCAGTAAATGCACGAACCCTTTGAAGTGCGTTGGCAAGGTTTTTGCCCCCATATTTGTGAGAATTTATACACATAAACATCTATGTATTTTACGTTAGGAAAAATTATACTTAGTTACAAAGCCCCAAAATACGAATAAGGAAGATGATAAATAAAACCTTAACACGGATTCCCTCGTAATCTCCTCAAAATGTTAGGCGCTAAGAAAACTGACAATCTGTTGCTAATCTTAGTGAGAGAAGTTTAAAAGGGAACATCAAATTGTCTACAACTGAGTTAGATTTCGGAAACAGATAAAATGTATTCGTCTTTGAAGGCTAAAATTGAGTATACTTCACTTAATATTGCTACAACTTATTTTATACTTAGAGGATAAACGATAATTTGGCCCATTGTACGTGAAAAACTGGAAGAGACCACGCTTGAAAAGCAACCCTTCCTGGAAATGAGTAAAATCAGTTCATTTATTGAGACCTTACTTTTTATTAGAAATAAAATCTTGACCATCGGAAATATGAATGAAATGTATATATTTGCAGCAATGAAAGACATTTTTCCCGGAAGTTGGGTGAACACAATATACGTTTTAAAATAAAGTGTCTCCTAATTTAATCTATGTGTGTTTACCCTTCTCTGCAAGATACAATAATTCCAGAATTTCATATATTTGGTAGACTGGTGACTGCTAGACTGTCAAATACTTAGCAGTTGTATTTTTAATGTACAGTTATTTTACCTAGTTGTTAATAGATAGAACTTTTTTCTAAAAACAATGAGATTAAAAACTAGTATAGATGAAAAGTAAAGAAAATTCAAGTTTAAAAATTATCCAAGACTTTTGAAGTTTGAAACAGTTCGATTTTTTTCATTTCAAAATGTTACCCAGAATTTGAGGGGTAAAAAAAATAAAGAAGGCATTGTTAGTAGCTTTGCACTGTGAAAGCAATTCATATCATTGTCTTAAAATACAGGGGGAGAAAAATCTAAATCCAGAGCCCCGTAACCTCCTCAACCATGCAATAATGTCCATAAATATTTGAGTGTTCTTTTTCAGACTTTCTGCATTCTTACATAGGAATCTAAAGAATACATTTTTTTAAAGGTCATAGGTATACTTTTCAAAAATTAAATACAGGATCAAGTTAATTTTCCTCTTGCTTCCTAAATAGCTTTTAAATATAAAATAATATTACATTTGCAGTTTTCTTTAAAGGATAAACCATTAATTTAATTTTTCTACTTAAAATTTCAAATGAACAACCTTAGTACCTATATTTTTAAATTTAGAAAACAGAATAGAATTTCCTCTGCTCTCACTGTTGTAATGCACACATAGTTATCATTCTGGTACATTTTATTGTTATAAAATATTCCTCTCTATATAGAAATTTTCATTTTGCTTAGAAATATAATTTTCTAAGGGAAAAAGCACTGTCAATAGGTAGTTTATGTAAAACTTCCTTGTTATGTAAAACAATAAAACAATATTTAAAATAACAGATAACATTAATACTTTAGATATTACAACAACAACAAAAACTTCAAAAACCCAATAAAAGACCCACTTACATCAACGTAGAGGAGCTTTAAATACTATTTTAACATTTAATATCTCAGTGAATTCTGGTGTTATTTCCTGTTGTTGACTGTTTCCTACCCATTTTATACAAGGTTAAATGCAAGGCAAAAGATTATTTATTTTACTAAATAATAGTTGAGCTTTGTATTTGGATATTTTATCCATTTTTATAAGAGTTTCCTTTGGATCTATAAAGCTGTTACTATACCACCTATAATTTTAACTGCTACTATGGTGGAAAATTGTATTTGAAAACAAAGTGAGATTGTCAAATAATAACTAGATTTTCTATTTAGACATTTTACCTGTTTTATAACAATTTGCCACATATCTATAGAGTTGTTGATTTACTTCATGTATTTAGGTTAAGTTACACTGGAGTGAAATTGTGTTTTGAAGCAAACTAGAATTTTCGTGTGTCATATAATAACGACTTTTTTTGGACATTTTATACATTTTTAATGACACTATGCTATGTATGGATCTATGAACCTGCTCGTTTGCTACCTGGATTTTTTTTTAATTTCTAGTATAGTGGACAAATATATTTCTAAACTCAGTAGCATTTTTAGTTGTCAAATTGTAACTGGAAATTATAAATTATAAATTATATCTAGTATAACTTCTAGTATGGTTGCAAGTTGTATTTCTAAGCGAAGTGGAATTTTTGCTTGTCTCAAAGACATGGAAAATAGCAAGGCACAGCACCATAAAAACTAGTTAGAGATAACCACAAAGAGGTAAAGATAAACCGATCTAGTTTCTAGCACTAGCTTTCCATTGATGAAAGTCACCCTTTAAGGAAAATACTGGAGCAGTGAGGAAATCCTGGCTTGTTAAAAAATTCTGAGGCCAAGAATTCAGATTGTTTATGACTTTGATAAGCATGGTATTTACAGATCACATTTTCTCCAAAATAACTAGCCACTTTGCTTTGCTTTTCTACTAGTTGTCCGCACTTATGCTACTTGCTCCTTAAAAAACAAACAACTTATCTTTTCATATTTCTGTTCTCGACACCTAAATTCATATTCTATCATTTATCCTACTTCCTACTCTTACTGTAAATGACATGGGTTCATGTCTGTTAGAGATTCCTGGGCTGGAAGGAGAGACTTTACACTTTGCATTGTTTCACTCCGAAGCTTCATAAATTTGTAGCATGATGACTCTTTTCATACTTTTCTAAGCTTTGCAACAGAGACAGGCAGGCAGGCAGATAGACAGACAGATAGACACACACACACACACAAACACACACACACAATCCAGACATTATCTAATTGTTAGGATCCAGTTCTCCAATCTGTTGTCTCCCCAATTTCCAGAAACATGAAATCTAAACCAGCAGTGCAAAATTTAAAGAAAAACAGAACCCAGCATTTCTAGGTATCAACAAGTCATTTCAAATGCCTGTTTTTCTACGTAGTTTTCAGGTGGTAGCAACAGATAGTCTCAATGCTTTTAAAGCTATTTCACACAGATTGCTTTTGAGCTGAAATTCTCTCTATATAATTCTTAGTATTTTATTTTTTAAAACAATGTAACTATATTAAAGAATGGAATTAAAACAAAGACAACACCCCCCCCCATCTCCACAGCCTGACACTAGAACAAACATTTTCAATGATTCTTCCATTCTGGGCTTTGCTCCGTGCACATGCATATTTTAATATTACTATTATTTTAATATGTGTAGACCTTTTATGCTTTGTTTTGAAAGATAAGTGAATATTGCTCTCAGGGAAGCATTTTTCAAGGCTGCAGGCTGCTCTTGGGTGTGAAATAGCACGGAGAGCAATTAGCAGGATTGCTATGTGAGCAGAGAGGGCTGGAGCCAGTGCTGATCAGGCCTGAGTTACTGGGTTGCAGTTAGGGAGTAACCCTAACAGGGTCACAAGCCTTTGCCCCTGGGTGTTCTCTTCTTTTAACATTTGCATGAATTATTTTGCAGAACATCTAGGAGGCTTGATTTAAAATTCATGGATGACTGGACAGGGCATAACTGTTGCAAATAGATAATGTAATTTAGTTGTAAACACTTTAAAAAGGGTGCAATGCTATGCTGAAAGCAAAAAGATACTTTATGCAGTAAATGCATCATAATTCGTTGGTGTGAAGGGAAGGAGGTATGTTGTATGGTGGCAGTCCTTTAGGAAAAAGGTTAATACGAACCAACAGCAGGATGTGGCTAAAAAAAAAAAATGAATTAAATTCTGGTAAGAGTATAGTGTCCATATATCACAAAAATTAATAGTACCTTGCTCTAATCACCCCATCTGTAGGATTTTGTCCATTTCTACCTGACACATTTGAAGAGAGACACTGACAAATTAGACAACTTCCAGGACAACCTAGGGATGGTGAGCGGTCTAATGGTTCTGTCCTAGGAGGTATCCTCAAAGGGTCTGAAAGTGTTTAGCTTCAACAGAGTAAAAGTTAGACATGAACTCCCTTCTGTTTGCTTGGGAAAGCAAAACCAGCATCAGTGGGTGAAAGGTACAGATAGATTTCAACCCAAGACAGTGCAGCTGAACACAAAAATCAACTTGTTGTAGTC